CACTCTTGAAGTGGATAAGATTTACGAGGAGGTAAATAATTTTAATATATTAATTTTTATTATTTATTTAATTTTATTGCTTCGGTTATTAATATTTTAATTTACAGGTCGTTCCGAGGAAAAAGGGCCGTGTTATCGGGATTGGCTCGGTTAACGATGTCCCCGCAGTGACATCGGCTTATGTTCACCAACAAGCCGACGACAATGCGCAGCTGCGAACGGAGTTGCATGCGACGCAGTCTTATGTGCGTACGCTCACGGATATCCTCGACGTTGTGGCGGTTGGAAACCCGCAAGTGGCGGAAGTGTTGCGTCAGAGACGGGAAAGCGGAGCCCTTCCATCCCAAGAGCCTCCACCATCTCAGTCACAGCCGGCATCCAACATTGGAGACGACTTCGTGAACCAATTTCAAGACCAGCATCCTTTTTAGTTTTTTTTTTAGTTTTTTTTTTAGTTTTTAATTGTATATTATGAATTTTAAAACTTATTAATTGTATATTATTTAGTTATTTATAAATATTTTTTATTTATTTTTTTAATTTTTTTTAATATATATAATTTTAATTTATAAATATTTTTTTTAAATAGGAAAAAATTGTTTCGAAGTTAAATCCTCGTAAAAGTTTCGAAGTAAATTCGTCGTAAACTTTCCTAGCAAGTTCCTCGTGAAGAGTCTACTACGAGTTTACGAGGAAATGGTTTACTATGCCCTTGCGAGGAAAGTATACGTGGAGCTTACGAGGAAATCTTTTTCACGGCTTTACGAGGAAACCTTTCCTCGTAAATTAGCTAGGCCTTTACGAGGAAAATAGGCTTTACGATGAACGTCTTTCGACGAAACACGTTTCCTCGTTATTTCCTAGTAAAGGGCCATTTACTAGGAAATAACGAGGAAAACCCGTCCTAGTAAAGGACGTGTTTTCTTGTAGTGCACAGATTTAATTGAAACTTCTTTACCACCTTTGGTAATAAACCGAACTGTCCAGTTATGTCTTTATTGCCGACCCTTTCATTAAGAAAATCAAAATCTGAATTTTGGACCCTCTAAAGCTTTCAGCGATACCCAAATAGGTTCACATACCACCTACTGTAGTAATACCCAAAACCTGATGAATCTCTAATTGTACCGAATCAGGAACCCCGTGTCCAAACTGAAGGGAAGACTTCATAAAATTAATTTGTTGCCCCGACACCCTTTAATATTTCAAATTTTCAATATTATCTCGCATTCCTGTCTAATAGCTTAACAGAAAAAGCATTATCATCGGCAAATAAGAAATGAGAAATTTCTGGACTACCCCGCGAAATCTTTAGCCCTGTAAATAGCTTTTCTTCTTTTTTCTTCTTCTGAATATTCAATATTAGTGTTTTTGTACAGAAAATAAATAAATAAGGTGATAGTGGATCACTTTGCCTTAATCCTTTATTTGGTACAATATGTCTTTTTGATTGGCCATTAATTAATATCTTATATTGTACCCAAAAAATACAAGTCATAATCCAAAATACTCAGCTCTTTGCAAAGCTTAATTTTAACAACATAGCTTCTATAAAAGACTATTATATTCTATCATATTCCTTACTCATATTCGTTTTAATAGCCATAAATTTTTCTTACATGAATTATTTGTTCGTAATCGGTGAAACATTTCCTGAGTAATGTTATCTGAAATCAGTCTCTCAGAAACAAAAGCTGACTCGATTTCTAAAATCAGTTTGGGCAATAGCCGTTTCAGTCTCTAACGTAATACCTTGGGAATGATTTTATAACCCACATTACGTAAACTAATGGATCTTAGTTCTGTCATTTGACTAGACCGCATTGTCTTTGGGATAAGACAAATATTGGTCACATTTAATCTCGCATCGAGAGATCTTGTCCTAAAAAAGTCATTAACCATATCCGTAATATCTATTTTGATAATTGACTAGGATCTTTGAAAAATAAAGCATAAATTCGATATGTTTTACTAAAGAGGGGTAAAAATATTTTATTCTTACCTTTATTTTATAGATATTTAAATATACATAATTATTTAAATGAAAACAAAAAAGTATTTTCATACTTATTTTTGAATATATGTTTTTGAATTCGATTTTTTTTAGTGTCAAAAAAAAATCTTAAAATTTTATTTTGAAATCTGAATTTTTTAAGACTTTAATTTTTTTTTAGTATTTATGGTGGCCCAATAAAAGAGCAGAAGCCCTAGTTTTGCGTGTGTACGGAAAACTGTGTGTGATTTGTTATCTTTGAGTTTCAGAATTGAGTTGCTTTTTGCGTAGCTGAAGAATGGTTCGCTCCAAAGCTCCTGCAAAGAAACAGCAAATTGATTTCAAGGTTCTCTTGTTTAGGGTTTTAGCTCCGTCTCTTTTTCTATACATCATTCAAGTGTTTGGTGAATACTTGTTGGGTTAATTTTGCAGAAAATCAAGAGAAAGCTCGGGAGAAAATTACCTCCACAAAAAAGAACACAACTAACACAGAGATCAAATCCAAATGTATATATCCTTTCTCTTGCGAAGTTCAAACTTTATGCTTATTTTGTCTAATTATTATCTCAAACGTGCTTGCTTATTTGCAGCTATTATAATCCTTGAGCAAAGTGTGGCTGCAGAAAAGAATGGCTTTGCTACAAGTAATCAAGGCTTGACCTTGGAGGAGCTTCTTCACCGAACTTCTCATCACAATGCTAACGTTCGCAAACGTACTTTCCCTTTCTCATGTTTCAATACATGATTGGCTGAGCAAACCCTGGATCAAGTTATGTTTTTTTTTTTTTTTTTTTTTTTGTCTTTGTAGATGCATTACTTGGTATCCAAGAAATTTTCAAAAGTCATCCTGAAGAGCTGCAGTCAAATAAACATGCTAGCATTCTATTATTATGTCTTAGAGCACCCCCATTGAGGGTTTATGGGGGGGGGGGAGTTCACACGAAAATCAAGAAAAAAAAAATAAAATAACAAAATCCTATGAACCCCTCTCTCATAAAGTTCTCTCGGGTGAACCCCTCTCTCCTAAGGTTCACCACGTGGCGGCCGAGGATTGGTTTAGGTTTTTTTTTTTTATTTTTTTTTTTTTGAAAAAAGCAAAAAGAAAACAAAAAAAATTTAATAATAAAAAACTGATTCAATGAACCCCAAGAGGGGGTTCATTAATGTGGATGCTCTTAGGGATCGAATTTGTGATGGTGATGAGCAAGTGAGAAAAGCTTTTTATAAGCTATTTAAAACTCAGATTTTTCCTTCTTGTAAAGAAGAGGTACATCAGATGGTTTCTAGACTCTTGCTTATGCGTCCTCTGTTCAAACTTGCATGTACTTGTAAGGATCGTGTCTTTGTTTTAAACTTGTGCTAAACAGCCGATTCTATTTTGTCCCAGGATAAGCAGCACCTTACGGTGTCATTTTTGATTCTATCCATATTTCTCGCTATGGCTAATACTTCCATTGATGTTCGTTTGATGGCTTTCGATGTTCTCCACCTTGTCGTGGAATTCTACCCGCCTACGTTCTCTTTGTATGCTGAAAAGGTGTGTGTCTATTACAGAGTTCCAACTTTTGCATTTACTCTCTCTCATTCTTGCAACACGTTCCTTGAAATTTCCGTCTATTCTTCTACTGTTGCAGATTCTTTTTTAACTACAAGGATATCATTATTCAGATAAACTATTTGTATGTGCAAGATAAAAGCAATCTAAAGTCAGCTCTTTCGGGGTTAACACATTGTCTCTCGCTGCTGCCATGTGATGACAGTGACAATCAAAAGGTCAGTTTCACTAAGTAGCATGTTTGTTTCGGTATCTCGCTTGGTAGATGATTAAATTTATTTACTAACATGTCTTTGATAAATGCTTGCTTTGGAAATGCGCCCATGTGTAGGTAGTCTTACAGAATCAACCCCTGCTCGCCTATAAGCAAGATGATCCTGCTATAGAACGTATGTCCCATCTTTCTTCCTTTTTTCTCTTCAACAAGTTACTGGTATATGACTCGTATCATGCATGCTCTGTTGAATTCGTATAGGTTTCGCCAATGTATCTGCAGGGAGCTTGAAAGAGATTAAGGGAGCCTTAATCAATTGTTTCCCAGTGTTCATTCCGTTGCTACATGCTCCGCGAGGATTGGATTTGGATGCCCACCCATTAATTGATTGTGTAGACCATATCCTTCGCAGCATCTGTTATGCGTTCAAGTTTTCTATCCATAGGCACGCTCAAGGACAGACGGTATCTGAAGAAGAAGTTGCTCTGATGAATAAGTTACTTGGTTATTTTCCTCCTAGTCCCGGGAACAATATTTCTAAAAAGGTATTAAATAATCACACCCCCCTTATGTTTATAATAGTTATATTTGTGGTTATCTTTATATTATTCTCCCTAATGATTGTGTGTTCTGCTTTGCTTGTTCTTGTATAGACCTTGCTAAACAGTTAGATGATTATTTCCTTGACAGAATGGTGAAAGCTACTTTATCCTCAATGGTGTATTGACAGAAATCTTTTGGAAGCAAGTGATTGGATTGATCTTCCTCGTGATCTTTCCTATAGGTTCCTCGAATTTATTGAGAATACCCTACTAGGCAAGGTTAGCTCTCGTGCTCTCGTTACTATAACTCAAGCTGCTTTGTTTTAATCGATTATATTTCGATTATCCCTCCCTCGTCGTCTGCATTGCTTAACTTCCGTACATGTTTTTTTTTTTTTTTTTTTTTTGCAGAGCATTAGTAAGCCTATTCAGGAAAAGACCTTGCTTGCACTCCTGCCTTTTGTTCCAAAACTTACTGTGAGAGTGAACCGTGACTGGAGGGATAATCTAATGCAGGTTCGTCTATACTTTCTTAGTTCCTTTGATAACTTAACTTAATGTCTATGTATATTTTTCAGGCGTTTACTATTACCTTATGTGATTGCAAAGCAGAGTCCCCACTTAAATTAGCCTGCATTTCAGTTGTTAGAGACCTGATTATCCCTGTAAGTAACTTTCTCATTAAAGCAGAGTCTAACTTTCCACACACATTGATGAAATCTAAAATCTGTTTTTCTTGTAATATCTGCAGAATGGAGATATCATTTACCCCAATGATCCAACTGCAAATAACTACCAGCGTACTTGGGCCTATAAACTTCCATCAATTCTTAGTCAGCTGGGTGATAAGCATCCCGTTTCTAGCCAGGTGCTAAAAACAAGACTCAATTAATTCTCTAGTCAATCCATCCTTTGTGCATGAACCGTCCATTTTACTAATCATCTAAGCTCATGTTTACCGTTTTTTAACTCCTTTTTTATTTTTTTTTAACATGAGGTTGTTATGCGACTTTTGCTCGACCTTGCGCGATTTACATTTCTGAAGAATGCCTCCCCAACATTTGAAGAAGACGTCAGAAACTTCATCTACCCTTACCAGGGAGAAGGTGCCGCAAAGACATAAAACTGTGTTATTGTTTGAGGTGAAAATGGTTTGAAACAATATAAAGAGAGAGATGAGGGCGAACAAAGACGTTTTATTAGATCTGAACGAGGAGTTACAAAGAAGAGAGTAATCGACGGACTAGCCGGAAGTACAAGATGGTGAGTAAACGGGAAGGTGACTAAACAGGGAGGTGACTAAACGAGAGGGTGAGTAAACCCTAGATCTAACCACCTAATCACTAGAAAACCCTAGATCTAGCCGCCAAGTGAGTATGTCGAATTCAGGGTCCCCTTTTCCCTTTGCTGCCTCTCTCCTTTTATAGATCCAATCTTCGTGTTCGCCCTAACTTACCCTAGCCTTGTTGGGCCTTATTACCGCTAGGCCCGTTTAGTAGTTCGGGTAAATCGTACTTCCGCCGACTCTTCTAGAACACATTTAGTCGCGCTACTAAACGCGTCTCATACCGAGTCGTTTCGGTGTCACCCGGTGGGCCGAGTGTATTGTCAGACTGGGCTAAGTTTTCCTCATTTGATGGGCCTTGTGGAGGGGGATAACCCATCTCCTACAGTTATGAGATTTCTTTCTTTGTTACAGTAAAACTAAAATCATTATTGTCACAGGTGATGTGAATAGTTGAGCATTTGCAAGTCTCCCTAGGGAAGCCCAAGATCTCGCTATCAGTTTCCTTCACTACTGGATCATGGACAAATTCACCTACCCTCTGCTGAGAGCAATAACTTCGTGCTGTATATGTGAGAGTATCTCACATTCCTTCCCATTCTTGATGACTCAACTTTGGCAGAATGATGACCAGAAAACCGTTTATTGCAAATGAACAACATGAACCAGCTGTGTTGTGTCGGATAGTCGAAACTGTTCAATCGGCATAGAGAGGTGGATATATCGAGATTTCCGATCAAATGAGCTTCCTCATTGTAGGTGGTGGAATGTACTTCCTCACCAAACCCATACAATAACGAGCTCAGCCCAATGAAGTTCAGGCCCAACAAAAGAGCTTTCCGGTAATCAACAGTAAATCGAGCTTAGCTCGGCTAATCCTCACAATTAACGAGTTAAGATTGTTTAACCAAGGCGTTCGAGTTAGCGGGCCAACCGAGGCCCATTTGGCGAAAGCCCGCAGGAGTCACGATGAGTCCGCTAGGTCAAGGAATAACTGCTATAAAAGGGAGGGAGGAGCTAACGAGAAGGGGATCCGAAATCACTCTCACTCACAAGGCGGCTAGAACTAGGGTTTTCACTCCTTTACTTCTTTTCTGACTTGTACGGCACGGCCGAGCTCCCCGCGAGACTCCGCCTCGTCTCTCATTTCTCTATTTGTAGCCGAACTCTCTTGTTAATACAAACACATCTTTGACTCTAAATAGTAATAAAACGCCTCTGAAATAACCTACCGACGAGTCCTGTCACTCATTTACTAAACAGACCGAACTCGGTTCAAACAGTTGGCGCCCACCGTGGGGCATAACAAAGCAGCGTCAACACAAGTTATGAGTCCAAGTAATGCTTCGACCTCCGACGACGAGGAAGATGCCGCGGCACCGACCTCAGGCGCCGCTATACCGCTCGCTCCTACATTCATCGACTCCGTCATGGAGCGCCTAGCTCGCTAAGACGAAGCCCAGAAGACAACAAACGAGCACCTCGCAGCCATAGCCGCCGTACTCGAACCCTGACGGTGCTGGAGGACACCTTTCCACGGCCCGACGGTTTCTCTTCAACACTAACCCTACACCTACTCCGGCGAACCAGCCTATTATGCCGGCCGGACCCCAAGAAGACTCCGCGCAACCGGGAAACAGCCCAGATCTACAAGATACACGGCGTCACAACCTCCGCTCCGCTCATCGAGAGCGTCCTAGCGGACACCCACTGAACTTTGTTTACTCAAAAGATAACCGCCGTAAGGCTCCGCAAGATGGATAAGATCCGCTTGCCGACATACGATGGCCTCTCAGACCCAATGGCCCACATCACGTCCTTCAACATCGCGATGCGGCGACACAACTTCTCCGACGAAAAACGAGACGCCAGCTACTGCCAGCTCTTCGTCGAAAGCCTTACAGGCCTCCCGGAAAACTCCGTTGACAGCTTTCGCGACTTATCGTCCGTGTTCTTGAAGAACTACATAATGTTCACACGCAAGGAAGCTACCGCGTCAGATCTTTGGAACCTTTCCCAGGCGCAGGGGCAAAGCCTTCGTAGCTTCATGGAAAAATTCAAAGGGATTGTGTCCAAGGTCAAAGTTCCGGATAGTATCGCTGTCAACGCCCTGATGAACACACTGTACGTACACTCCAAGTTCTGAGACGACCTCTATCGTCACCCGACCAAATCCCTTTCTGACGCCATTGCTCGATCCAACAACTTCATCTGTATTAAAGAAGACACCAAAGCAATCATCAGTAAGCAAAAGGCCACGAAGCAAGCGTCCTCGAAGAGTAACGATACCCGCTCGGAGCCGCGTCAGCACGCCCCAACCGTCAAAGCGAACTCCAAGAAAAACTTTGTCTACATGGTCGACGAAGATAACCTCCCGGGCTCAACGGTAGTAGTCCGAGCAAAGGGATGGAACTACTGGGACTGGACAGATGACGAGCCAAAGCCGGATGGCGCATCTGAAGCCTCGGGTTCCAAACCTGAAGAACCAGAAAAGTACTGCTCTTACCACAAGAGCAAGAAACACAACACTAAGGATTGTAAGGTTCTGTACGAGCACTTCCTCTCCTCGGTCGCGAGTGGAAAATTTGAAGTTGAACCACCCAAGACCAAATCGAAGGAAAACAGCTGGAGCAAAAACAAAGATAAGAAGGGTCGAAAGTCTCAGCCTAAGAACGGGCAACCCGAGCAAAAGAAGGACGTCGAGGAAAAGGCTCCCAAGGAACAAGAAAAAGAAGATTCATCTGCCGACGAGGAGCAGCCGTGAAATCGGCAAAGAGTCGAAGTTATCCTCGCACGCCGGAGCTAAGTCCGAGCTCACGCAGGGAGATCTGCGTAAGTACCTCAGCAAACGAACTAAAGAACAGGATGGTCTAAGCTCGGTCGACTTACGGCATAAACTAAAGCGAAGAAACGTCACAGCCGAGACAACGCCATCCGAACCCATCGAACCGGAAGACGAACTCGCTGCTCCAGTCGTACCTGGCTCGTCCCCTATCATGCAGATCTAAGAAGCCATCTGAACTCGAAGGTCCACGACCTCCGCTCCAAGCTCCGCAAACAAGAAACGCAAGATCTGCGATAGAGGCTCGATGCGAACAGAGACAACCGTACAAAGTCTTACGATCTACGAAATCAACTCAAAAGTAAACGTGCTAACGTCATCATGGGAGGTTCGCCCCCATGTGGCGACTCAGTCCGGTCAATCAAAGCTCACCAGCGTCAAGCCAAAACTTCGCAGAAATGGCCATCCGTGCCGAAGAACGACCTCTCGATAACGTTTTCTCCCGAAGACGCGCTCGGAGTCCATATGCCGCACAACAATCCCTTACTCGTCGAGCTGGGAATCGGAGACTGCGAAGTAACTAAGGTACTAATTGACACCGGTAGCTCAGTTGACGTCATCTTCCTCAGGACACTCGAGAAGATGGGAATCGACCTACACCTCATGAAACTATCCAACCACACCCTTACCGGATTCAATTGAGTCTCGGAAGAAATGATCGGCACCATTAGATTTCCGGTCTATGCTATCCGAGTGGCCATAATGGTTAAGTTCTCCGTTATAGCCACCGAAGCGCTCTACCACGTCATACTCGGCACGCCGTGGCTTCACTCCATGAAAGCTATTTCGTCGACGTATCATCAGTGCGTCAAGTTTCCTGGTAACGACAGACGAACCAAAACGCTACGGGGAGACCAACAGGCGGCGTGAGATCTCCTCATTGCCAACGTCAAACCTCAACAGCCGACCCCCCGCATGAATGCTATCGCGAAACCGATCCAAAAGATCTACCCCCAGAAGGAGGAAGTCCTCGAGGTGCAGATAGACGACAAGGATCCCGCGAAGATTGTCTGAATAAGAGCATACATCTCGGACGAGATGGAGGAAACGATCCTCGCCTTCCTCAAAGAGAACGTGTCGACCTTTGCATGGGCCACCTTGGACATGAAAGGGATCGACCCAAAGATCACATCCCACGAGCTTAACGTCGATCCGACTTTCAAACCAATCCAACAGAAACGTCGGAAACTCGGTCCAGAACAATCCAAAGCCATCAATGAAGAAGTCGAGCGACTACTCGGCGCTAGATCGATCACGGAGGTAAAGTATCCTGAGTGGTTAGCAAACCCGGTGGTGGTCAAAAAGAAGAACAAGAAATGGTGTGTCTGCGTCGACTTCACGGACCTGAACAAAGCTTGTCCCAAAGACAGCTTCCCCCTTCCACACATTGATCGTTTAGTCGAGTCAACGGGATGGAACGAGCTTTTCAATTTCATGGACGCCTTCTCCGGGTACAACCAAATCACTATGCATCCCGACGACCGAGAAAAGACCGCGTTCATTACCGATAGAGGAACGTACTGCTACAAAGTCATGCCGTTTGGGTTGAAGAACGCCGGCGCGACGTACCAGCGTTTAGTAAACAAGATGTTCGCTGACAAACTCGGTAAGACAATGGAAGTCTACATCGATGACATGCTGGTCAAGTCATTCCGAGCCGCCGACAACCCTACTTACCTGCGTGAATGCTTTAAAACCTTAAACGAGTATGGAATGAAGTTCAACCCCGCGAAGTGTACTTTTGGCATCACCTCGGGAGAGTTCCTCGGTTACATCGTTACACAGCGAGGAATAGAAGCGAATCCCAAGCAGATTTCTGCGATCCTTGATCTCCTTAGCCCAAAGAACAATCGGGAAGTCCAACGACTGACGGGGCGAATTGCCGCCTAAAACCGTTTCATCTCCCGATCAACCGACAAGTGCCTCCCATTCTACGAGCTGTTACGCGGTAATAAACGCTTCTTTTGGGACGAGAGATGCGAAGAGGCCTTCGGTCAGCTGAAGACTTATCTCACCACTCCTCCTGTCTTAGCTAAGCCCGAGCCCGGGGACACACTCTATCTCTACATTTCCGTCTCGTCAATCGCGGTCAGCAGCGTAATCATTAAAGACGACCGAGGCGAGCAAAAGCCAATATTCTATACGAGCAAACGCATGACGGACCCTGAGATGCGTTATCCGACACTTGAGAAAATGGCCTTGGCAGTCATCACAGCCGCGAGGAAGCTAAAGCCATTGATGTCACTCAAATGTTTAACCCTAAGGAGTGATTTACTCTCTCAAATAAGAGGTTCAATCGTAGTACTTAGGGATCGAATCCACAAGGAACTAGAGTCACAAAAGATATAATTTTAAGTGATTAAGCTAGGTTGAAAAGGTTTTAAAACAATAAATAAAAATAGGTAGCAATGGTAAGTTGCTAAGGAAAATAGATTTTGGGTTTGAAAACAATGAAAGAAAGTAGTTAGATTCAAGGTTACTATTCAGAAAATCAGGATTATAAATCTATGAATGTCTTAACGAATTGCTTGCAAATATATGAGAACTTCAATCCTTAGACAAATCTATAGCTGTCGCTATTAGGCTCGTCCATTGATCTGATTTTTGACACTATCGATCGATGTTGCTATCGCAGTGTCGATCGATATATGTTGCCGTCGATCGATGACTCTAGAGGAGTATCGATTGATATATAGTATCAGATCAGATTGAAACTGTGTTCACCCGAGAATTTTTATCATACCGGCTGTCGCATCGAGCCTTAACAGAGTCTGGGTTTAGCGAAATGATTTCAGGAA